TCGCAGCAGCAGCAGCAGCAGCCGCAGCAGCCACGCACACATCATGAGGCTCAGCCGCCTCTTCACAGGCAGTCGTCGTCCGGCACCTCCGCTCCCCTCTCCCAGTCTTCCAAACTCGATGGCGTCCTCTACCACTTCTACACCACCACCGCAAACCTCGTGATCCAGGCGCGTCTCGCACACCTTCGTCCCTTTCTGCTCACGCCCGCCTCCGATCCGCACGATCCAGACAACAGGCCTCCTTCTACTCCCACCGCTCCATCCCACCCCAAGCTCTCCAGGTGGTTCGGCCTGCACATCCCCGACACCGATGTCTTCAAGGACGAACTGCGCCTCTGGCGCTCCGTCACTTCCTTGCTTGCGATGTCCACCACGGGCGCCAACTCTGCCGTCCCCGACCTCATCATCGACGTCATGCTCGACCTCTCCAACGTGCCGCATACCCACGAAGTGCTCCTCCTCACCGACACACGCTCTGCAGCAAGGCTCTGCATCGATGGTCGCGCGCCAGGCCAACCTGCCACACAGCTCCGTCCCGCCTCGCGTCCCCAGCGCATTGTGCTCGAGAGATGGCGCTTGCGCTTCGACCCGCACCCGCCCGAATCGCCGCCGGACCTTTCCACCTTCTACAAGAGGTCCGTCGTCCACTTCCGTGCCCTCTTCACCTTGCTCTGCATCTTGCCCGCAAATCGACTCTGTGCAAGGATAGAGGCGCTCAAGGCGGCGCCACAACAGTCCGCCAAGGGCTTCCCCTCAATAGCCGCACGTGCAGATCAGGGCGCATACGACGCACAGATGACCATCGGTTGTCGTCTTAGCATGTCCGACATGGACGCCAACTCGGACCCAGCCGATGCTGCCAACTCGTCGCACGAAGTAGCCGCAACCGATGCCCTTCCGGCAGAGCAGGCTCACCTCATCCCGGACATTGAATCGGAAGAGGACCAACCCGACATCCGCCTCGAGTCGCACGGCCACTACGCATCCCGCACCTTTGCAGCTCTCGCCACGCCTCTCGGCCATCTCACCCTTTCCGTCACCTATCGCAAGCTAACCGGCTTCTCGGTCGAAGACGCAGAAAGTCTGCGCTCTGCAAACAACATCAAGGTCGACGTAGACGAGGACTACTTCAAGCCCGTTGCCGGCGCTTCACCACCATCTGCTCGAACTGCCAGTACTTATAGCGGCACAGACCGCCTCTTGGCGGCTGCTCCGCAGCCTGTTGGTGGCATCTCGGCCGCACGGCCGGCCAACCTGGCCGCTCAGCGACATGCATCAGAAACAATATCCGACACGTCTCGCTCGCCGCATGCGCACGCCACCGAGGTCAGCCCCGCCTCCCAGTCCCCGGCCAACGTGAGCGTCTTTGGCACCAGCGCAACCGGCCGCAACACCGCCGGTCTCTCGAGCCTCCGCCGCACCGGTTCCTCTTCCAACAGAGCATCGCTGCCCCTCATAGGCTCAGCTCACCCTCAAGCCGCGCCATCCAGTCCTGCTTTGGCAGCCGCGCTCGGCGCAGAGCCCGCCTTTGTCGTCCCCAGCTCAGCTCGCCGCGCCAGCATCAGCGAGCGCCGCCTACGCACGCTCAGCGGCATTTCGAGCGGTCAGCCTAGCCTCTCCAGCTCACCCGCAATGGCTACCGTCGATCTCCCAGAACCGGGTTCCAGCCTCACCAGGACCACCTCCGTCGCACAGCTCAGCGGCACCTCGAGTCGCTCGGTCTCGGGCAGAATGGCGAGCGACTTTGTTGCACCCTCTGCTGGGCTCAGTGCAGCGTCGGCCGCGCAGTCCCGCCCAGGCGTCTCGTTCAGCCCGTCTTCGTCCTCACCCCTTGCGCAGCAGATGTCCATGCACGCCAACCGAGCCACGAGCGGCGCATCGGCTCTGGGCACCTCGCCCTCCACTTCATCCTTCCGCAGCGTCTCGGGCTCGTCTCTGCGCTCGTCCGTCGCAGCTGCCGGTGCGCACGCGGCTCCCAGCCTGCGAAGCGTGTTTCAGAGCTACGTGCCGCGCTCGCAGAACTCGTCGTCGGTGCTCGTGTCCAGGACGCCACCCACAGCCGGCAGCGCGTTCGTACAGACCAGCTATTCGCCCTCCAACCTCGGCACGGGCTTGCGCTCGAGTATTAGGAGAAACTCCAGCACCAGCGATGCCGGCTCCGGCTCCGCTTTTGGCGCCAGCTCATCCTCGGCCGCCAAGCCGCAGATGATCAAGCGCTACAGCACCAATTTCTCGTACCGTCAGAACCGCGAGCGCTTCGGCGTCTATGGCAGCAGCCTCGGCTCCGAAGGCTCCGGCTCCGTTGGCGCCGGCGGCGAGCCCTCGAGCTATCCGCGCTTCGGCGGCGCGGGCGGAAGCCTCAGTTCGGCGTATGGTCGCAGCTGGGTGTCGCGCATGGAGCAGCGTCAGGGATTGGGCACGGGCGGTGCATTCGCGCGCACCTCGAGTCTCGACGACGCCACCGCCGCAGCTACCGCATCGGCTGCATCGCGGTATCGGCCACTGTCCTCAGCCGACGCGACGCACCTGGGCAACTTGACGCCCAGTCCGAGAAGCCACGATGAGGACATGGACGATCTCGTGCGTCTGCTCGACACCAAGCCCGCGTTCGGCACGTCGTCCATGGGCAAGCTCACGAGCCTGCGCAACGAGCGTCGCAACACTCCGGGCCTCAGCAGCACGCCCGAGGAAGGCACGAGCGTGCGACCAGGGCAGGCACTGACCGATTCGGTCCGGTCCATCCCGGGTCACGACCGAGCCGGGTCGCTCTCGGGCAGCGGCATCCGATCGGGCGGCGGCATCCGCACCGCCAACCCCATGTCGCGCAGCCAGCTCGACGATCTGCTCAGCCGAATGGCCGAGTCGGTCGGCATCCTTAGCGCCAAGGACCAGGACTCGGGCGCAAGCGGCGAGGCGTCGTCCGAAGCCGCGACGTCGGACGAGGTCAGGCTGCGCACCAACGCCTCGCCTGCAGCTGTGCCCGCCACAGATCATATGGCCCAGGCCGCAGTTCGGCCCAGCGCTGCTGCTGTGGCCCCCGCCACTGGCAGCGTCAGAGGCTACAGTGCCAACGAGGCGGAGCGGCATGCAGAGCTGCCTACGAGCCGCGTTTCTGGGCCTGGGACGCTGTCACGTGCGCCGCTGGGAGAGGGATTCGCGTCTCGAACGCGCGGCACAGCACACCAGGTGCGCGCCTATAGCACCGCAGCGAGCAGCGCTGCCGCGGACGAGCCGCGAGGCGATGCGCTGCGCGAGGGCGGGGCGCATGAGGGCGGTGTGCATGCTGGTCCCGGCAGTGCGTCGCCGCGCACGAGACTGCCCGAGTACGAGGCGGAGGGCGACCTGATGTTTGGCGTGGACGGCCAACCCGAGTACGCACCGGAGGACGAGCTGGCGGGCGAGATGGAGATGGCGGCGGCGGTGCAGCCTGCGTATGCGCGGACGGCGGAGGCGGGCATCACGGCGTTTGGCGGCGTAGAGGGCGGGATGGGCGCCACGCTGCCCGTGGGCGCGCACCGCGAAGGGCGTGCACCGGAGCGCGTGCGCAGCGGACCTATGAACGACTGGCAGGTGGCCGAAAAGTGGCAGCGCGAGCGCGCACAGGAGGCCGAGCGGCGCCGGGCGGACGCCGAGATGTCGCGCAACTTTGGGCAGGAGGTCGGCGCGAGCACGCGCGGACGCGGATCGCACAGTCCGTGGCGCGCGTCTACGCATGCCAGCCCGCCTGTAGTGGCGGCGCAGCAGTCGAGTGGGCCGCAGCCATCGACGTCGCTGGCGAGCACGGGCGCGCTTGGGTTCCGCTCGAGCTCGTCGCGCCCCTTTGCGGCCGCGAGCCGGCTGGTGGGCATTGGCGGCACGTATGGCTCGTCGGTGGCACCAGCGCCCGGCGGGCAGACCGATGCACGCAGGGGCTATGGAGTCTCGGCGCCATCGACGCAGTTCCACTACCAGCCCACGCACAGCGCGCCGCGTCCCACGCCGAATTCGTATCCCGTGTCGCGCGACGAGATGTACGACGACGATGAGGAGGATGAGGAAGAAGAGGATGACGATGGAATGCGCCGGTGTTAGCGGGCGCATTGGAATCCAAATTTTTTATCGGTCATCAGACCGTATGTGCTTGCTACACGAGGCGATCGGCTGGATGAGGTGAGGGCGGCACGTGATTCGCACGCTTGGAGGGAGGGAGGGAGAGAGCATGTAGAATCAGGCAGAGCTTGCGATGGAAGAGATGAGGAGGACGATCGAAGCGGCCAAGCTGGCGAGTCGGTTGTGATGGTTGAC